AATATGATTACTTTGAAAAGATATACACAATGAAATTGTTTTCCAAGTGTGTACAAAGTAAATAAAAAGTTAAAGCAGCAGTGAAAATTAAAATGAAACTGAGATTTACTGCAGCTTTTCCTCTCTTGATTTCTGTAGAAAAGAAATGGGATACTAATAGAAACCAACATCTTTGGTTCACATTTTTCTTCCTAATACAATTATTATATTTTTATTTCGATAAGAAAGAAAAATCTAATAAAAATAGCATTTGTTCATATGAAAGATAATTTTAAAATTATAATTTTNAAGGTATAGAATGGTAAATGCTTGTCACCAATCAAATGTTACAAAAAGTGGAGCAAAAACTTCTTTATATGATCAGATAAAAATGAAACAGACAAGATTCTAAAACAGGAGTATTTTGTAACATCCAATTTCATAAGAAAATGTTCAAGTAAGTTTTAACTATAAATACACATTCATGAACTTTACTTCTCTATACTTTACAAGTTGAAATGAAATAATTTATATAAATATAGTTTCCCCTTATTTTTCTTCTAGTATTTACATTAAATATTGTATGGCAACACATCAAAAGTTGATGTTGCACAACTAATACCTGTAATGTGTTCTTCCTACAACTGAGTTTCCTTCTCTCCACTGAGCAGTCACATCAGTGGGATCAAGTGAGCCTTCAAAAATATGTTCCCAGAGATACAATCCTGGTAATTAAAAAACACAAACAAAAACAAAAACCATTCACTGTCTAGTCTACTCTGGTGCGTGAGATAAGTNAACTTCCTCGAATACACAGTTCTTTTAAATCCCAAGAGGAAAGAGCATTGCTATTTCATCATAACATAAAATTTTATGTAAATATTTCAGAAGGGAAGGGTAAATTAGGCTTTCTTTTGGTAGTTAGTGCCGTTTGCTCAAATCCTTCCCTATCACTATAGTACCAATGTATAATTTTAAGCTTAAAGATGCTAACTTCTTTATGAAGCTTTAAGAATTTTTCTGAAAATTCAAT